TTCTTCACAAGGTGACTACTAATGGTAGCAACAGCCGTAGCAACAACAACAATCATTGTTCTATAATAATAATAATAATAATCATAATAATAATAATAATAATAATAATGTAAAAATATATAATGGTAATATTGATAATAATGACGGCGACGGTGATGATTATGATGGTAAACAATGTCATAATGCAGCAATAATACTGTTTATATTAATGATAGTAAATTCAGTATAGGCCTAAGTAGTAAACATAAAGATACAGGAGAACCACTCCTTAGGGACATTCCTGTTTTAACACTATGTTCAGCCCCTATTAATGGGACTCTGAGGTAGAAATTGTAAATCTACCATATATACAGTCCCAATTAAGGGGCCACCAATGTATTTCGTTCTATTAAAATAAATAGAACTTTATTTAGCAGACAATTTCCCAGTTTCGATTACCGTAGTGTCCCGAAGAATACCAGTATTAAGGGGAAACCTTTTTGGTCTCGAAGTTGTCCCATGAATAGGGGTTCCAATTTAATGATAATAGTAAAGGCCTGTTTATAATATGACGATAACGATCAACGATAAAAAGCCAAAAAACAATTGTTCATATAGAAAATATAGAATTATAGAAATAAGTTTTTACTCTAGCACGATTCGATAACGATTTATCGTGTATTTATACGATAAAATATATTCATAAATCAAATCAAATGACGTCATAATCAGGGGGAAACGATAAAATCGTAGTAGTAAAAACAATTTTATCGTTTTCCCATGATTATGACGTTATTTGATTTCATTTGATCTGTTGATTTGTGAAATTATTTTTTTTATCGTATACCGGTACACGACTAAACGTTATCGAATCGTTCTAGTGTGAAAACCCCTTTTATTTCTTTTATTTTCTATATGAACAATTACTTTTTAGCTTTTTATTGTAAATCGTTATCGTCATAGTGTAAACAAGCCTTAATACTAACAATAACATATATGTTTAACCTTGCGGTACACCACGTAGATCTGAAAAGAACTGTTGTAGTTGAGAAAGCTGTAGTTGAGAAAGACTTTCCCAACGACAGTTATTTTCAGAACTACATATGTGGTGTACCGCAATCTTAATTATATGTTATTACGTCATATGCCATGCAAACCTTCAAAAAATACTAACAATAACGATAACCATAGGCTAACTACAATATCAATAACAAACACATTAATAATAATAAAATTACAATAACAATAACGATAGTAATATCTATTGGGAGATAAGTTTCTACTTAATTCAGTTTATTCTATTAAAAATTATAAGCGTATATAATATTTAAATTTAGATTAATTTATATCCAACAGAAGGTGTGGTTGCTTCACTTAACATCGATGATCCAGACCATCCTTATTCAATTGCATTTGACAACATTTCCATTCATCTTGGCTTCAACTACACAGGTAGGTACCAAGGCGGTTCATTCTGTAAAGCTCTGTCCACACTTCCCATATATAGTCATGATGTGCCCATATATAGTCATGATATGCCCATATATGGTCATGATGTGATGTCATCATGACCATATTTAGGCATGTCACGTGTTTTTTTTTTGTTTTTTTTTTTTCAAATAAAATTTGATAATCTGGACATGATTTGAAACGTGTAAACCATGTGGTTCTATTCATATTTTAAAAAATCGATTTCTCAATAACTTTGTATATGTCAACACTGTTCATAGTCAGTGACAGCCAGGTGTCTTTAACATGAGAGCGGCTAGAGGATCAAGTAACAAGTAATAATGTTATCAAATTGAATAATTCTCCTAAAAGTGTAAATCAATAACTTGTCACCGGCGCTAGAGAGAGAGAGAAAGAGCTGAGAGAGAGAGAGAAAAAAAAAACAGGTGTCGGAAGTAAGGAATTGTGATTTTTCTACAATACGAAATTTCTAGAGTGGTAAATAGCAGAAAATGAGTTGTTTGGTTTATTCACTGTAGGCCACAATTTTGATACTAGAATCTAGACCATGATGGTTATTACTCTACTGAAATGTTCTTTTTTTTTCATTTATAAGTCGAAATTTTGAACGAACCTTGTGAACAAACTGGTAAACTACAGTGTTAATTTGATCGACTGTATATCGCACTTTAAAACAACCCTTTTATGACGTGTTTCCAAAATATACGTTTTAATTATGGATCTGGTGAATTATGCGAAAATAAATGAAAATCGTAACGTGTTTTTTTTTTTAGGTAATCAATTATCAGTAAAAATTACTGTCGCTTTTTGTTTTATTTAAAAAATTATTGTATATGTCATAGTATCATCGCCGTCAACAGTTTCCCTGTCCTCATCTGGTCACTCCTGCCATATTTAACAATCATTTTAATTATGGATCTGTTGAAGTATGCGAAAATAAGTCAAAAGTCGTAACGTGTTTTTTTTTGTTTTTTTGTTTTTTTTTGCTTTTTTAGATAAACAATTATTATAGTAAAGATTACTGTCACTTTTTGTTTTATTTAAAAAAGGGATTGTATATGTCATAGTATCATCGCCGTCAACAGTTTCGCTGTCCTCATCTGGTCCCTCCTGCCATATTTAAGATTCAAGAATTGTTATTGATCTATATTATAAAATATACAGAAATGTGTTACCCTTGGTAGATAAAAAGATATTAAAATGACAAATATTATACAAATAATGAATGCTTATGAGCGCAATGGAAGAATATTTTCATGAATTGGAAGATTGATTGTTCCATTCGACGAGGCGGAACCGAGTCTAATTGTCGATCTTTCAACAAATGAACATATTCTTTCCATTGGTCATTTGATATTTTATGAAAAAAATCCACCTTTTAATTATTTGAATGGAGATTCTTGTCATTTAATATTTTATGAAACAAATCTACCCCTTTTTTACATGGAACAGTCCAGCTTCTTTTTAGCAAATCAAAGATTGTATTAAGTTGAAGACATATCGTATCCTAGGCACTTTGCAATGGAGCAAAAATAGTATGAAAATGCACGGATAAAAGTAAAAATGCACGGTGGAAATAAACGTCCATAATGAGTGACGAAATTTGGTAAATTACCAATGTCACGTGAAAAGAAATCCACCAATTAAATGATAAGGATCTGTTTAGGTGTGTTATAAACAATTATATAATATAGTAACATAGTTCCTTTTTAGATGTTTTAACTTGCTTTTACTTGCCCTCTTTTAGCTTTATTTATGTTAAGAATACATAGATCAAATTCACGTAACACTGACTTATTCTCTGTGCCCCTTAGCCCAGCCAATGCTACTAAAACGGTTTTATTTACAGACTCTCCTATAACTATAATACCGTACCATTACACGTATCGATACTACTATTGACATATTTTTAAAAAGTATTTCCACTTTTAAATCCAAAGTTGCTAATTCAGTATATACCTTCTTTTAGTTAAGCTAAGAACTCTTAATATTGTATATTTTTACCTTTGATTGTTATTGTTTGTTTTGTATTTTACTATATTTATATATATTGTATGTTTAAGACATCCTGTAATGGGAGATTCCGCTGTTGGATGTAACTGAAATAAGATTTTTTTTTAAATGAAATAAAAGAACAATATGGGAGCTTATCTATTAAAGCTAGAGTTGATGATTGTGTATAAAATTAAGAGTGGCTAGGATTCTTCATAATGTTTTGTACTTTCGTGTTGACACACTTCTCATAAATTGATGACCATGGCATTAGATCTGACTTGATAATACTTTGTGCAATTTGTATTCCCCTTAAAATTGTAATGATCTTATTCAGCATAATTTAAACATAATTCTAAAAGATAAATGCTTTATAATATTGCACTTATTACTTTAACCGTTAAAACCACTAATACAAAAAAATAATAAAGTTGAGTTTCGGGAAGCCCAAAAATAACTTGTTTATACCATACAACTTTTTTATGGTTTATCTGTTTAAAAAATATATTGGCAACCCTGGTGGTGAAAGTACTTTATTAATTAAAATAAATGAAGTAAAATGGTGTTGAAAGCCCCAAAAAATAAGCCCCGCCCCTTGGATATCGTTGCTATGGTGTAAAAACATACGCAAACACGTGCGTTTGTGGGACAGCACGTGTGTTTATAGCACACGTGCTTATTCTTAGCCCCGTTCTGATTGGCCAGTAGTTACATTCCAGATTGCTCCATTGCGTTTAGTCTCAAGGTGTTTGTAAAATAAGCCATGAAGAAAGCATATTACAGCATCATCAACCCACCCCTTCCCGACCCTCTTTTTTGATGTGCGTGTCAAGTAAGGTCGTATTGTTTTCACACTTATGAATCGTTCAGCCATTCAATTATTTTTCCATACTATATAATTATTTTACATATTTTATTTCTTATTTTTCGTATTTATCCACATTTTTATTTGTATTTCTTTCTATTCTACAAAAAAAAAATAAATAAACAAAATGAAATCTGTCGTCGATAAGATCACTCTTGATTTCTAAATTTTAGGCCAATTAACAGTGGTGGCGGTATTTTGGGAATATCCTTTCTTACTCACACCCCAACTTACTGAGAATGTCGAAAGGTAAGTCGTCTAATGATGATGATGATGATGATGATGATGACGAAGATGACGACTACGATGACGACGATGATGTTGATGATGATGATGACGATGATGATGGTAATCGATGATGATGACAAATATCATGACTACGAAAGCGGTGGCGACGACGATGATGCCGCTGTTGATGATGATGATGATGATGATGATGATGATGATGATGTTGATGATGACGACGTTATTGAACATAATGGTGATAATGATCATCATCATGATAATAATGTTGATAATATAGTAATAATCATGATAAATACACTGAGAGTATCAATGTCAACGAAAGCAACAGCAATAACAATGACAGCAATAATAAGTAGCAATAGCCTTAACAATAGCAACAACATATATTAGTAATAATAATAATGATAAAAATGTCAAGAACAATGACAATATCAACATTAGGAATAATAGTTTGTCGAGCAAGAACTAAAAATGTTGCCGCAGACAAACAAAACCAATACATCATTAGTAACACTAATGTATTATTACTCTATTACAGAAACGTGTCGTATTATCTTAATTCAGGATTGCTCTCTATAGCAACATACCATGAAGTCGATGGAGAAATTAATCCTACGAGCGTTGAATATGAAATACATGTAGGTTTCTCGTTTGTTCTAGTTAAGTTATGTGTATTCATTTTTTTTTTTTTGTAATTCCGAAGGCAGTCTATTTGCCCTCAGAGCATGTGTGCTAGAAGAGTATGGTATTGTTAAGTCTTTTTATATTCTTATTCCATTGTCAATTATTATTTTTTTTTCTTGGCTTCAAGTCAATTCGACCCTTTATATGACTACATTCGTTGAGAGCAAAGATCTTATAAACACAAGATAGCGTTCTCCGCGATTTACGCGTGCAAATTCTGTAATAAGGCATGAATTGCTAAATTGGAAAATTTTGACCCTTGACCGCTCTGACCGCGCCACTTTACCTTTAGGGTATCAATCCTGTGAACAGCAGAACAGGAACCATCTCAGATCCATGGCTCTCTTCCAAAACTGATTACTTTTTCTCTTTGGTATAATAGCGCATGAATGGCGCCCTCTTGCTAAATTGGAAACTTTTGAACCTTGACCGACGCTTCTATTTGTTACGCGTAAATCGCGGACAACGCTATCTTGTGTTTATAAGATCTTTGGTTGAGAGCTTTGCTACACGATGTATTAATGTCCTTCATTCGAAAACAGTATTTACCTTTCTCTGATGAGTGTTAACGGCTATCTTGGTTTATATTATAGGCCTATGCAATTATTTGTTTCTAGCCGTACCTATTGTGTAATAGTACGGAAGCACCTAAGTGCCATTCGACTTGACGACTTGTCAAGATAATTATGTTGTCAAGTCGACATAATATACATATCATGTCGACATGGCGAGATAGATTATCTTGGCAAGTCGACATACTAAAAATGTTTTGTTGTCATGAC